ATACATTGGCCCATACAGGATTACCCAGGTCATCAACCCATCAGCCATACGTCTACAACTACCTCCGACTCTCCGCATCCATCCCACGTTCCACGTCTCTCAGGTTAAACCAGTCACCTCGAGTCTGCCCTCTGAGCCAAACCCGAAGGCTCCTCTCTGGATTTCCCATGCAGCTCTGGATTAAGAGCTGGAAACCCAAAGCCAAGGTCTGCTCCCTCTTCAGAAGTAAGACCTGAAGCAGTTATCGGACTCTGCTGAAACAAACCTTCTCTGGACCCAACAGCTCCTCTCTCTGAGCTCAAACCGGAACCCTCAAGGTATTAACCTGAACATCTCAAACCCAAACCCAATTGCTCTCAAAGCTAACTGCTCTGTTATCTACACAGACTCCAGTGAACCAGTCCCCAGGCCTGAACCAGTTCCTGACATTATTCCATGTGCTTGTGTACAATAAACATTGTTAAACTTTTACTCTTGTTTCTGTCTCCGTGGTGTTCTGCATAACTGGGTCTCATCAGTGAACCCATCATGACACAGAGGTGGATAGTAACTAGTTACATTTACTGCAGTAACTTTTAGAAAATAATTTCCTTTGTAGGAGTAGTTGTACTTCACTTGTTTCCTTTCACTTCAGTAATCTTCTAATGAGAGTATTGCTGCTCTTACTGAGTAAATGTTCTGGTTCCTCTACCCTCCATGAAGAACTGGATCTATTGGAGATCAGGTGAAAATACAGTAAAGAAGGATTGCTTTATCAGTTAATTTTGAAAATTATTTTTCAGACATGTTATTTGTTTGGATTTTATTTTCTACTTTTAAATATCAGGATTTGTTCATAACTCTCTGTCTGATTCCATCATTCTAGACATACAGATTCTTCATTTATTAGGGTAATAAAAAGTCTTCAGTCTGAGTCAGTGAAACCTGTAGAAACTTTTGCTGTCAGAGCTTTTTTAAATGCACCAGCAATCTCCACACAAATAGACCTGTTAGCTATGGAGTTCTATTATTTTATTTCTGGCTGAAACACTCATTGGATTGACCGTTATTCCTACTACTCCATGAACATACTTGCGCTTTCTTTCTTTTTAAATGCATATTTGTCTGCTGTAAAGATGTATTTTATTATTGTACTTGTTATTTCTCCAAATAATTCTAGTAAACTTTTGAAGTTCATTGGTTTAATTTTGAAATGTTGAGGTTCTAGTTTAGATTTTCTGTGCTCATTTGGGCCTACGTTACTATTGCTTTCTACCATGTTCAATTCACCACTGTTCTGCACATGCATGCTTGGATGTGTCCAGTGGTTA